CCATTAAGTTCAACGCGTTCCAAGTCGTTGGGAAAGGGCGCCAAGTTTGTGGGCAGCAACGTGGGCAGCATCCAGGACATGAAGGACACGCTCGAGGTGGCGTCCAAGCACAATGTTCGTCCGGTGATCCAGAAGCTGCCGATGGCCAAGGTGAACGAGGGCATCGACATGGTGCGCAAGGGCACGGTGCGCTACCGCGTGGTGCTCGAGAATTAGGTCTGTAAGCTTAGAGAGGAGGATGAATTCGTGCACGTGATGATAGTTTCCCCATGCAATAAAATACAAGTAGCAATTTGTGCTTTTATGAAAAAAAAAGAGAAATAAGATATTCTATTTAACCGATATTAGTAGATGCCTGGTAAAGTTTAAGACGTTGTCTCAACTTGGGCTCTTTCTGCTATAGCGTTTGTGCTATTGAGTACCAGTCCAGGGCCAGGCAAATGCAGCCACCGAACGACTCACATGTCAACTGGAATGCTATTGAAGAGCCAAGTTGTATCGATTCGCGTGGGCAGCCGTGTTCGCAGCGTTCGCCAGACCTCGACTTGTTAGCGCTGCGACAGCCGAAGCCGACAGTGGTGTCACTCATTTCCGTGGCTGGCGGTGTCTACATCGTAGACTCTACAAGATCGGGCATGGATGCCCTCTGTGAAAACAATCGGAGGCCGTGATCCTGATCCCAAGCCCTACGCCCAAATTCGGTCCGATCAGCCTGTCTCTCGTTCGTTTTGGGCGCGTCAACCACCATCCGGTTTACTCTCGAGGCGTCCGGTCCAGAGTGTCCCAAGTAAATGACTTGGTGTTTGTAAGACAAGGGGTTACTCCATCTGTAAACCGATTTGGTTACCCAAGCTGAAGCAGACGAATCGTCTATGCCATGATCGTCTGAGACGATCATGGCATGACAGGGCAACCAAAGCTGTGTTCAGCCAAACCCACCGCTTCCTATGCGACGGTGAGCCCAGCCACGCAGGATACCTGCCCTGGTAGAGCAGTGCTACTAGCTTGGACTCCGAGTCGGACTACCTTTTTTCCATTTCCGATTTTGATCGACACTTGACAAGTCAATCACAAAACCAGCATCAACTGCAGCACAAGCCATGTCGACTGCCCCGAGGACCGTGCGCGCGTACGCCACATTCGCCACGGGCGAGGAGGCCAAGCCATGGGAGTACCAGTCGCGTCCTCTTGGCCCTGAGGACGTGGAGATCAAGATCTCGCACTGTGGCATCCGTGGCTCCGATCTACACACCATGGACAGCGGCTGAAGTCAGACCATGTATCCGTGTGTGGTCGGCCATGAGATCGTCGGTGAACCGGCGACCAAGTGAAGAACATGAAGGTGGGTGACCGTGTGGGTATCGGTGCGCAAGTGTGGGCCTGCCTCAACAAGTTCCCGGACGATCCGTGCAAGGAATGCGCCAACGGCAAGGACGCCTACTGCCGCCACCACG